CTGTGCTGGTGTCCCAAGGAGACTCAGTGACGCTGACTTGCAACATATCCAAGACAAATGCAACACAAATCTCCTGGACCAACAACAGATCTGTTTTTCATTATTCCATTGAGCTGAATCGCACCCATTCAAATTTCTCATTTCATAGACTGAAAATAAATCATGAGTTTCCAACAAAGCTCGTTATTTTTAGTGCTCAACCTGAAGATGAAGGACTTTATACATGTAGCATAACAGATAGAAGTGGCCTTTACAGCATTACATGGAGTTTGACTGTGTCTGAGAACCCCAAAGGTAGGTAGTACAAAAAGCAGATCCAGTCAATTCTAGCAAAGGTCAACCAAGCATTTTAAATTAATTCACTGCTGTTTTGATACAGAATCCACTTCATCAAAGTATTTTCTATACATACTCCCACCTGCAATTGGATTCCTTCTGTGTTGCATCACACTCGCTGTGTTTCTCTACAGGTGAGTAAAACCTTTTTATCTTCATAATGAATGTATGAATGTGATTATTTTGTGTTTGTCTGTAGAAGTGTTCTCAGTACATGTAAGACTGATTGGATTATAAAACACTATTTTCTATTTCCTACATTGAAAGTGTTTAAAGTTTGTTTTAAATAAGTAAAGAGGGAAATGAAAATGTGATATTGTGGCTTATACCATTGCGTTCATAGATGTGATGATTAATATTGTCATATTTCTATGAGGTTTTTTAAGCAAATCATTACATTAGTGATCACAGACTCAGTGCGTCATTGCACAAAGCTCAGATCTTTCTCATTGCTAAATGCAAGTTTTTATTTAATAAGATGATGTATTATTATCTATCTTTGAAAACTTCAAGGATGAAAGAGCTCAGACTTTTTTTCACTACTGCAAACCTGCTCTGAATTTAAAGTTGTGAATCAGCCCGCTGTGCTTTCTTGCAGGGGGGCTATTGTTATATACAACAGGGCAAAAAGTGTCAATGACAGTAGTAAAGAACTGGCTAAAAGTGGTTAGAGTCAAAGCTGTCATTCACCGGGGCAACCCTTCGCCAACATGTACATTTAAATCCTACAACTACAAAAGAATGCAAGCTGAACTCATTCTGTACAGATTCATCATACATTTGGAAAAAAAACCCCATTAAAATAACAAAGAAGACGTCGTCCCACTAAACACTGGATGTTTTATAGACGTGCACTTATGTTTTAGCTCAAGAGACTGCGTCAACTTGGAGATGTCCGCTAATCGCTCTGCATTCCTTCATACATTACTGTTATGATCAATCCCATTTCAGAAAGTGTTATACTTTTCTAGATCATTTTCCAATAACTTCCTAGCCTGTAGGAAACATGCCCTCCACCCTCTGGAAACATGGGACTACAGAAGCAGTATAAAAATAAGATCTGTCCACAACGACCACATTTGGACTATAAATAGCCTGTACATGGCAGGCCTACGGACATCAACATCAGACATTACAAAACAACCCCTTCAGTGTGTATCAAAATTTGACGTCCAAAAATGACATATGAAAAACGTGACTCCAATATCACTTTGCATAGTGGGTTAGGGTTAGGTCTTGATCCCAGAGGTTATATGGGGTCTCATGTGTATGTTGTCTCTGTTTGGGGAATACAATCTTTGAGTCCTTCCATTCATGTAGATTTTCACATGGGTGGGGTAATACAGGAATACAGGAAGTGAAAGATCAAAAATGAGAGCCAATGAGGAGTACAAAATAAAACAGGAACAGAAAATAAACACATTAAAAATGCACAATGGTTTCATACTTCAGTGGCAGTGACCTCAATTTTACTGCATACCTATACAACAAACTGCATTCACTCGTGTATACTATGCTTAAAAATCTAATATAATTTGTGATTATTGATGCATGCACAGTAATTTGGAGTTCAGTATTTTGCTCAAAGACAACTTCACATGTGGACTGAGGGAACTCTAGATCAAACAATAAACCTGTGAATTAGTAGACTGCCCACTCTCCTAATTCACAGGCTGCTCTGAAGAACATCTTGAGAACTCAATCAAGAACCTCAGATATTCAACCTTAAAACCTCCTCAGATCTGTATCAGATTGAGGACTGAGGTAGCAGAACAAGCTGAATTATTCTGTTTTATGAATGTTTTGGTGGACAAACGAGATTGAAACAATACTGAGCAGGTTGTTTTAAAATTAAATAAATTACACCGTTCAAATACTGCAACACAAACGTGAGGGTCACAAACAATGCACTTAAAAATCTAAAACAGCATTTAATTTACAGTTTGTGCTAATAGACATTTTGTTTAGCATTAAAGTTTTGAGTTTTAATTTTCAGTCCTTCACTAATTGACATTTACACAATAGTTTCAAAAAGTACAGGCATTATATTATTTTTTCAAATATAGCATACGCACAATGTAGTTCCATTTAAAAATGGGGGAAAAAAAAATATATATATATACACACACATATGTTTTATTGATTTGAATACATTTAGCACTAATTATTGGAACATAAAATTTGTTTGGTAAGCTCATTGGCCCTTGACCTGCATACACAGGTGAATCCAGTCATGAGAAAGTGTATTTAAGGTGGCCAATTGCAAGTTTTTCTCCTCTTTGCGTCTTCTCTGAAGAGTGGCTACATGGGAGCCTAAAACAACTCTCAAATGACCTGAAAACAGAGACTGCTCAACATCATGGTTTAGGGGAAGTATACAAAAAGCTATCTCAGAGATTTCAGCTGTCAGTTTCCACTATGAGGAACATATTGAGGAAATGGAAGACCACAGGCACAGTTCTAGTTAAGGCTGGAAGTGACAGGTCAAGAAAAATCTTAGATAAGTAGAGGCGAAGGATCGTGAGAGTCAACCCACAGACCAGCTCCAAAGACCTACAAC